GTTGTTATTCACCACTTGAAGAACATCATTCCAACCTTCCTGACTTTTATAGTTTCTGATGTGAAATCTGACATTATTCAGACAGGCCTGCATTTATATGTAACTTGTTCTTCCTTTCTGTCACTTTCAATACATTAAATATTTAGTTGTTTAGTGATAATATTGCAAGGGGAAGTTACTTTTTGGTCTTTCCTGTTTGATGTTCTAAACTATTCCTGTGTCTATATAGTTGTTTCTTTATCTAAGTTAGGGAAATTTTCTGCTATGATTTCATTGAAGATATTTTCTATATGTTCAGAAAGAAATTTCTCAGTCTCTTCTATTCAAACTATTTTATAAAACTTTATTGATTCTTTGCAGATTTTACATCATGTATCCTGATCCCATTCATTCCCCTTTCTCTTCATTTCTGTCCCCTTACCTTGCAACCTCCCCTAACAAAACAAAATTTAAAAGCAAAACCAGACCAAAACAAAACAAAAAACAAACAAAATAAAAAACAAGTTATAAAAATCTTAGCATGGAGGCTGCAGTGTGGCTCAGTGAGTCACTATCCCCTTTAGTCCATACATCTTTAATTCTAAGTGTTCATTGCACTGAGTTATTGGTCTGGTTTGAGGCCATAGGTTTCTACTACACCCTCACTGGGATTCCTGTTGGATAACCTATTGTTGCCTTGTGTCACGGAGATCGTGTAGCTTTGGGTTTTCAGGACCAGTACCTTCACATGCTCCAGCAGTTCATAGATGAGGTGTTGGGGTGGAAAACCTTGTAACCCTGGTTCTAGGCCTGGGTGATAGCTGGGTTGGTCAGCCAGCCTGCCTTTCACTCCCTATCATCCCCCCCCTGGGGTGAGCTCTTCAGCTCTGTCCCAGCTGGCTCACCCCATGTATTGGACAGCAAGGAGTGGGACTAGTTCTCCTGATCTCCTACCCTCACATCCCAACTACTTTTAAATTTTATCTTTTCAGTGTCCTTAATATCTTGCTATTCCATATCCTAACTTTTTATTACTTTATTGTTGTCCTTGTTTGGATGTTCCAATTACTCTACCTTGACTTTGAGCTCGAATATTCTATCCTTGTCCATGATTCATTCTCTTGGTGAAGTTTTCCATAGACTTTTAAAATTTGACTTATGTTTTTCATTTCCATCAGTTAAGTTTGGTTATCTTTAAATATTTCTTCTGTCTTCTTATCGAATTCATCTTTCATATCATACGTCATTTTCCTTTTTAAAAATACATCACTTGTGTTCCCTTAGGGTTATTTCAAGAGCTTATTTTCTTAGAGTTTCTTAAACATACACATAATTGTTCTTTTAAGTTCTTTTCTTAGTTACATCTAAGCCGCCTTTAGAGGAGGCCATTATTGTGGAATTGGTGATTTTTGGAGGAATTAAATTTTGTTGGCTTTTAAAAAATATTATTTGTTGCCTTTCTGCATGATGACTTGTGCATCTGGAGCTTGGTGACTGGATTTTTAAAAATATACTAACTTCTCCCTGTTCTATCAGGGTAAGTGTATAACACTGTGACTGAGGGCAGAGGGCAGGCAGATCTGGAGCTTCCCATGCACATTGTTCTTATCTGAGTGACAACCAGAGCTGGAACCTCTTAGGTGTGTTATACTCACTGGGACAATGGTAGGGCTGTAGCCTCTTGGTAGGTCTGAATTGTTCCCATGTGCTGTGCTAACCGGAGCGTAAAGGTTTCTTTGAAGAGGACAGCTTGCCTATGCCAAGTTATGGTGACACTTCAGTAGCTGCTTCAGGAGGCAGGAACAGAGTCAGTTCCAAGGCTTCAAGGATAGGACCAGATTATGTCTACTAACTTTGAAATTCCTCACCCTGCAGAACTCCTCAAGTTAGATCCAGCTGAAGAGCCAATGGTTCTACAGAGTTGAGCTGGCTCAGTTTTCATCTTGATTTGACCCTGAAGTGTTGGATGACTCTTACGAGTAAACAGAGATTGGCATGGGTCAGGAGCTGATGGACTTTATAGGTATTATCACTGAGTGACTGGTATTCTTTATGAAGTCTGAGACCTGGAGGACCAAGCTTCTTACTCGACACCCCGCAGCTGCAGTGGAAACACCTGGCTCTCTGTCTTCTCTGACACTGGTCTCCGCATGGTCTTCACATCCATGATGATGTGAAGGTGTCGAAACAATCATTGATTTTTCTTTCCAGGAGTGCTGAGAATTGTTCTCACATCAGCAAGCCTCCCTTAAGGTTCATTCTGAGATCTGTGCATATTAATGGTATCTCTGATTACACCCTCCTTAGTGAATACCCTTGATGAACAAGGATGATTTGGGCCTCATTCCTGCTGCAGAAAGACTAAAAGGGAGCATGACCTCTTCTGAAATCAAGGACACCGGTCAGAGTGCAACTCACTTTGCTTCCAGAAACAAATTCTCAGGGAAGCTATGGGATGGTTTTAGTGGGAATTTTCAGGAAATAGATATGAGGGAAGAGGCAGAGAAGGGAGAGAGTTAGCTGGAGGAAGCACAAGTTTTCCTGGGATCAAGTTGCTAACTGGAATATAAGCCAGCCCCCCTCTAACGAGACAGGTTCTTGGAACCAAGGAAATGAGGACAGCTCTGAAGTCCACCTAAGCATGGAAAGTACATTTTCTAAAGGAGGAAGATGCAGACCTTATATGCCATTGTCTATCTACATCAGGCTTTCTTTTGGGCCACCAGCCAGCTCCCAAATCATGACATAGAGACTTATTATTAGTTATGAACGCTTGACTTTATCTTTCGCTTGTCCCATTAACTCTTATAAGTTAAATTATCCTATTTCTTTTCATCTGCATTTTGCCTTGGGACTTTTTTTTTTTTACCTTCCTTTTATCCTGTATGTCCTACTCCATGTCTGTCTGTCTGACAGCTGCCTGACTTGCTGTCCCTGGGCATCCCCCTCTCTTTATCCCTTGTTCTCTCCTCTCATTCTCTCTTCTCTTCTCCTACTTATTCTCTTTGCCTTCCAGCCCCACCTATCTGTCTACTGCCTATCTATTGAGCGTTCAGATTTTTATTAGACAAATTAGATGCCTTAAGCAGGCAAGGTAAAACAGCAACACGTCTTTACTTAGTTAAACAAAAGCAACATAAACACATGCAACACACCTTTACATAGTTAAAGTAATATTCTGCAACACAAACAAATGTAACACCTCTTTACATAAAGCAATCTTTCACAACAGCTGTCAGTGTTACTAAGGTCATTGTCCTTGCTTAGCCTATTCCTCTTTAATGTTCACAGGGAAAGGTCAGGTGACCTCTGTACTTCATGCTGTGAGTGCCCACCATAGATTTCTGGTCGGTCAGTGTTTGTTAGATGCATCTGTAATAGCCATAAACCCCACTACTACCCACAACATTGAAGTTATGGAGTTGCCGATGCTCTTCTATGTAACCATAGCTTTTCTTGGATCAACTCTCTCACCTGTGATTGATGGATAAATGATATCTTGTTGGTGGACTGGTTATGCTGAGGTCCCTATAAATATTTCTTCCCGAAAGACAGTAGAGGGAGGATCATCACTCCTGAGAGAATTCATTTGGTGAAGACTCCTCTGACTTAATGTTTATGGATTTTATGTCTACTTTATATACCAACAGTATTATAGACAAATGAAAATGCATAAACATGAGTGAAAATTGCATATATATGAGCCTATGATAGCATTATGCATCATAGCAAAAAGGTAGAGGTAGCATAAATGTCTCTCAGTGGATAAATGGATGATGAAATACCCACAGAAATAAAAAAATCAATACCAGAAATGTGAAATATATATATATATCAGACTATTATTTTAAATGAAAAATTTTGTTCACTGCAGAATTGTCAAAGTTGTGAACTATATGTTAATTTGGTAATGCTGTTACAAAAAACCAAAACATTACATAGGCCCATATACGGAGGTATCTAGGGTAGCCAGACTCCTACAGAGTAGAATCATGTTTGCCTGGGAACTGGGAAGGAGGGGAGTCCAAGAATGTAAATTCTTTGTTGTAGGAGGTCTATTGTATGGGACACATTCAGTTAGTTCTATTGTACTGGGCACTTAGAAATGGCTCTGACCACAAATTTTATGTTATATGCTTAATATTTTATTATATTAGTTTACTTATATTGTGTGCATGTGTACAGGCACACACACATAATGGTATGTGTGAAAGGGTCAGATGACAATGGGTAGTAGTAGTTTTCTCCTTTCATCATTTAGATCCTGGGGACTGAACTCAGATTAATATGCTTGCTGGCAAGTGTTTCAACCCACTGGGTCAGCCCTGGTATATGCTTTTAAATGACAAACAAACGGGGAAATAATAATCTATGTGCTTTTCCTATCAAATTTTCTGTAGACTCAGAATATGTAGCCTATACAAAACTCTCCATTGCTGCTCAAGTGTTGGTATGCCTGGTACCTGTAGGCACATCTGGGCTTGACTTAGAACAGTTCACCCATCTCTGGGCTCCTCTGCCTTCTGCATTCAGAGAGCAGAGAGCCCATCCAAGGTAAAATCGTCAGAAATGAGAAAAGACTTGCTAGTTTAGCAAGTGTTTACAAACTGGATGGCCTCAAATTCCTTAAGCAAACTGTTGCAGAAGAGCCTTCATATCTCCTGGTACTCAGCGAAGGGTCAGGCTGTGGACTCCTGTGCTCTTCCCTGTGCTTCAGTGGGTGGACAGATGCTGGGAAAGCTCCCATCCCGTTCCACTTTGTAATCCTGTCTTTCAAACGACCTTGGGGATCCAGGTCATCTTTTTTTTTTCCCTTTGTTCCCTGGGGAGCAGGTTCCTCTGGATCCTGTTGACCTGTGTGGACATCCCAGAGGCTAGATCAGGCCACTAAGTCAGGTGTAGTCCAAAAGGAGTTAGTGGAGGTGGTAGGCCATAAAACTGAGCCAGTTGTTCCCAAGGAAGATCTTTGGGACAGTTGCTTCTCAGGGCCTCCGAGAGCAGGTTGTTGGAGACTCGGGACCATGACTGCCCTGTGGCTGGTGCTACTGGTGAACTTGTCTACCTTTTTCCTGGGAGTCTTCATCTGGGCTGTCATTCAGCACTTTCTCATTGCGGAAATTCCCTCCGCCTTGCAGCATCCGGTCAAGTTCAGGTGTATGCACTGTATAGCGCTGTTCTTAATTACCATGGTGAGTCTACTCTTGGGGGAAACCCTGTTTGCAGGGTTCTGTTGTGGGATATTTGATCACACTGTGAATCCCAAGATTGTGTTAGTTAAATAAAAATGTGAGGTCAAGAGGGAGAGACGGTAGCTATTTGACAGGAAGTAGACAGAGAGTAAAGAGGGAGTCAGAAAAATGAATAGAGAAACACAGAAAGTAGAAGGGAGGGACTTAGAGTTTGTTGGTCCCCCTTGGGTTGGAACAGTGGAAAAGAGATCTCTTTCTGAGACGCTGGGGAAGGGGAAAGGTCAGCAGGTCAGCTAGTTGCTCCTTAACCTTTCCAAGCTAACAGTTTTTCACCCTAGCCTCTGACTCCTGCCTCTTTCTTGGTAAAATCATTAGATATAAAATTAGACAAAAACAACAGGGTTCTTCTGTGTAGTTTGCCTTTCTTCTTTTATTCTCCCCTCTCTATTTCCCCATAACAGAGGTGTTACATTATTGGATCTTAGATACACAGAAACATCATGTTTGTCTGTATCCATCCCTCCTTCCCTTTCTCTTTCTTGTTCTTTTTGTCCCTTCCCCAACTGTCTCTTGTCTTTGTTCATATATATATATATATATATATATATATATATATATATATATGACAGCATTTCCTTAAGCTCAGGATAGCATTGAACTCACTAAGTAGCCAATGGTATGGGGCTCCTGATTGTCCCACTGCCACCCACCGCTAAGTGCTGAGGTTCTAGAGGTGGACACTATCATGCTTGGTTTATGGGGTTTTGGGGATCAAACCATGGCTTCTCGCATGCTAGGTCAGCACTCTATCCACTAAGCTACACTCCCAACTCTTCTTTATAATTTTCTTAGATAAGGGTCTCATGATTTTGAAGTGGTTATCTTTTGGCTCCCACCTCCTGAGGGCTAGGATTGGAGGCAGGCATCGCTGTTAACCTACAAGACTCTTTTCTGAGGCGTGAAAAATGATTTCACACCCAGGTTCTACTCATGATAGATTCATGGCCCAACAGGTGTGACAAATCTTTCAGCAGGACTCCACTCCTTCCTCCCACTTACTCACTTCCAGGCATTTTGTTGCATCGTTGTGAAGACCTTGAAGCCACAGATTATTTCTTAGCATAGTTCTGAGCAGAGGGCAGGTGTCCTTTGCTAATCAAGTTGTTCATAGGATGATGCACGTATCTAGCCTTTCAGCACGCCTGCACTAGGTGACTGGACTCTTAGCTTGGCTTTGTTGCTGGTTGGGGATAGGGACAAAGGCCCGTCCACAGGGACAGTAGGTTTGGAAAGGACATTTGGTCTTGCATGGGAAGCAGGATGTCCCAATCTTGATAAAAGATCTGTAGAGGCCAGACAGTTCATAAGTGATTGTGTCAGAGGGCAGCTACAAAGGAGGAGGTGGTGAGGAAAGGGGTGAGCAGCAGCTGCAGCCAGGCTGCCTGATAAGTGTCTCTGTTCTGCTCTCCCTGGCTGGGAGAGCCCTTTGCTTGTTCTGTGTGCATGCCAGAGTCTTCATCATCGAGGTAGGGAATATTCTCGGTCTTGTGAAGTTAATATACACATTGCGTGGCATGTGGTAAAGGATAATAAGTTTTGATATGTGACATTACAAAAAGTAACGTGACACTGTGCTGTTGAGATTTTTTTTTAACTCCACGATGGACCACATCTATCAGAATGAGCAAGCTTTGCTCAATACAATTATTGAAAGCTTCTGACCTTAACCCCTTATTCATTTTTATCTGCAAGTTCTTTCCTAGAAGTCAAGCTATTTCAAGCCCTGGGACTGCATGGAATTGCAGGATAATTTAGAGCTCTGGAATGACAAATAAGAGCCTTAGATGGCTAAGTTCCCCAGAGACACCGTACTCTTCCAAACCTTCCCTTCTACAGAGTTACACCTACATTACAGCTGGGGGAAACGTGAACTCTTTCTCGGGCAAACCAAGCCCACACGAAACAGTACAACACTCTGGTGTATCTAATGGGTTTTGTTCCAGACACAGTCTTTTCAAGTTTCTCAACCAAGAACTCACCTCCTGGGAGCCTCCTCCTGAGGGAACTATCTCACTCCACCCATCATGAGCTTTATCTACACATGGGAGTATCATCTAATCATCACTTAAAAGACAGATATTTTTTTAAAAATTATTTCTTTTATTTTTGAAATTATAATTTTATAATTTCCCATGGTGATCCAATACCAAAGACGTGTCTTTTAAAAATGTGAAGCGGCCCACTCCACTGGTGGGACCATCCCTGAAGAGGTAGATGAGCAAGCAAGGGGGCAAGTCAGTGATTAGTTTTCCTTGGTGGTTTCTGCTTTAGTTCCTGCCCAGGTAAATGTCTTGACTTCCTGCCTTGGCTTCCCTTAATGATCAGCTATAACCTGTAAGCCAAGTAAAACCTTTCCTTCCCCAGGTTGCTTGTGGTCCACTTGCTTATCACAGTGTCCATTTGTGCTTTATCTTTTCATAACCTATTCATTTATCTCTTTTTCCATTCTGTAGGTTGAGTCTTTACTCGATTAAAACTTTCCTTTTACATCTGTAAGTTTTCTTTAATTTCTTGAGTACCCATTTGTCAATAGCTGGCCTTAATTCCAGAGACTGGAGTATTCTGCAAGAAGTCTTTACCCATGCCTATATGTTTCCCCCAGTGCTCCTTCTAATATTTCTACTGTTTCAGTTCTTACAATACAGTCTTTGCTACATTTGGAGTTGACTTTTCTACAGAGTGAGGTAGGGATCTAGGGCCATTCATTAACATGGGGATATTCAGTTTTCCCAGAGCCATCTGTTGAAGATGCTCTTCTTTCTCTTTTTGTCACCTTTGTTGAACATTAGGTAGCTGTGACCATGTGGAGGTATATTTGGGTCTTCTACTCTATTCCATTGATCTATTTATCTGTCTTGTGAGAAGGCCATCTCAAAACAATGACAATAAAGTTTCAACATGAATTTTAATTGAGAGAAATAATCAAATTACAACCATATCATTATCTAATCTGGATATTTTGGTTAGAAACTCTGAAAACCCACATTCTTCCTAAGCAGAGTCCACAACCAGTTGTAGACATGTGAGTCCATTGTATGTGCAGAAGTCAAGAAACAATGAACTAATTTTAGCAACGCTAAGTGGGGGCGGCATCTACATGCCTACCTTATAGTCTCCTATGTCTCACTTTTCTTCTTCTTCTTCCTCCTCCTCTTCTTATTCTTCATCATCATCTTCATCTTCTTCTTCTTCTTGGCTCCTACAGGGAAATATATTAGAGAAGCTGAAAATTTGCTCCATGCCCAGGTTCATCCAGTGTATTCATGACTTAGCAGCCATAAAGAAGAATCATAATTTGATGGTGACCAACATGTACTTTGGTACAATCCCTGTGAGACTATTCCAGCCCAAGGCAGTGTCCTCCAAACTCCGAAGAGGTATCATTTTCTACCATGGAGGAGGAACCATATGTGGTAGTTTGGGTAAGTGGCTTCTGAGTTGGGTGGAAGAGGAAAGTCCTCATGTCTGTTAGAGTCTTTCATAGGTTCCTATGAAGACCTCTTGGGAGGGAGTTAAAGTAAGTAGAATTTGGAACTTTTAGGGAGAATGAATTGAGGGCTTGGAAATCATAACATTCAATGACATAACAATATTTCCTGGGTAATATAGTTTTAGTCCAGGTTTGGGCAGTACTACATACTAGATCTCTCCCAGAATGTATGTGACACTTCCCTTTCCTTCCCACTCACAACAGTGGCTATTCCTATCTGTCCTATAATGACCCCAAGTCCATGTGTTTCCCTTAGCTCTGCTGGATCACTGTGCTCAAAACCCATCCATTCTTGATCACTCTATCATCTCTGCCCCCTAAAGTTGTTTCCTTGGTACAATTACCATCCTTCAGTTTCATCATCATCTCACAACCAGAAGGACCCACTGGTGTAATTCAACCTCCCCAGAGTCCTTACCACATCTCCCACCTGGTCACTTATGATCTCCTATTACCCTTTCTGAGCTGTAGCTGTGAACTTCTCAATACAGCAGGAATCCTGGTTGAACTTACCTGTGGTACCCACCCTTTTCCAGAGCTTCACTGTCCTTGTTTACTCTTCACTGTCATCAGCCTCACCTTCTTCCCCGAGATGCTATCATTATCTACTGCAGATAATGATATTTCAAAATCTTAAGCAAAAATGGCTCAGTAGATATCTACTGACTATCTACTTAGCCCCAAGTCCTCTCCAGGCATAAGGGACACACTGAAAGATAAATAAGAACCAGTCCACAAATTTCGGGGTCTGTCCATCAAGGGGGGAAGCTAGACCACACGGGAGAACACAAATGAGGAGGTGGTTTCAGATATGGGTAACACAGGAGTGGAGTAGAGAGTGATTCAAAATAATAACACCTCAGTTTATCTAATCATACAGTCTCTCCAAGAAGGTGATATTTGAGACCGGGATGAAGGGATGGAAGGAAGCAGTTCTTCTGAACTGGGGCAAAGCAATGTGAGATAGGTTAGGGATCTGGGTGAGGTGAGGGAAGCCTGAACTCAGCACCCAAACAAAGGACTCCAGAAGCTCAGTCATCAAAGCAAATAATACTGTATATTAATATAAGATTTTTAGAAAGCTCTGATGCAAAAAAGTAATAAAAATAAATAAAACCTATGAGAAGCTGTGTATCTAAGTTTCTAAGAGGGCAGGTGACTGAGTGCTGAGTCACCTGTGCAAGTTGGAAACAGCATATTTGAACTTTCGTTGAACCTGTGTCTGCTGTGTTCCATGGGGAAGGAGAGAGACAACACTTGCGGGTTCCAAAGTCTTTAGGATTTAAGAGATCACGACATAAGTGGAGCTGCCGATTGATCATAGTTGGCAACAAGGACTCAGGAGCCTTATTTCTCCTGGCAGCCCCAAACAGGGGCAGATGTAGGATTTATGAGTACAAACCCCACAAACCCTTGTTGTCAAATCACAATTACAGTTTTCACCAATCAGGAGTCAAAGATTAGGGACTTTCCTTGTTCATTCCATCATTGTCAGCTGACATAAACGGTAAGCTTTTAGTCTAACTTTGGCTAGAGAAGCTGACCCCCCCCACTCAGCTGAGACTACCCCATGTATTGGTCTCAGTGTTTGCCCTTCCATCCACACTCCCCTACGCCCTCCCCCACTGTCTTTTGACAGTGGACAGGTATAGAATATTTGTCCACAGAAGCAGGGTTCACCCCGCTGCTATGACAAACACCATAACCAAAGGTGCCGTAGGGAAAAGCAGGATTTGTTTCATCCTACAGGTTATACTCTATCACTGAGGGAAGTCAGAGCAGTAACCCCAACAGAAACTATGGTTGAGCACTGCTTGCTAACTGGGTCTCAGGCTCATGCTTAGCTAGCTTCATTATGCCATCCAGGACTACCTGCCTGGGGAGCGACCCTGCCTACTGTGGGCTGGGCCCCCCTATACTTATTAAGCAACAAGAAAATTCCCCACAGACATGCACACAGGCAAATCTGATCTGGGCAACCCTTCAAATGAGACTTTTCCTGAGGTGACTCGAGGCTACATTAAGTTGCCATTTAAAGTTACTAAGGATATCTCCAATGCCCCTGGTGCATATACCCACCTAGCAAACCCCCTGACTATTGGTACTAACTAACTTAATTTAGAAAATCCCAGTGCTCGGCTGGATGGGAGGTGTTACACTCCACTAATCTAGCACCTAGGAAGTCAAGACAAAGGGATCACAAGTTTGGGTCCGCCTGGGTTATATAGTTAGGACATAGACACATACAAACAAAACCACCACTTTGTAGGTAACAAAGTAACAAAGAGAAACTAAGGCAAGATAGAATCTTCATGGATATTCATTAAGAAAATAAAAAAATAATTTTAGTGACTGAATCTCCTCCCTGGAGGTGCTTCCGGGATATGATAATTAAGAGAGTCTAGACTTCTGTCCCAACGCCAGACAGAAATTGGACCATTATCAACTGTACACTAATCTTAATGGAACTGTCTACTAGTATAAAGTTATCATCTGGTCATCATTTTCCTCCTCATCAATGCAAATCGATGAGCCTAGTAACACTCCAGGGCTGGCTCTGCAGACACATGTAGCCTTAGGGACATCCATTTCAGATCTCCAATCATTCTAAGTCCCCAGTTTACCCATACTGCATAAAATTCAGTGATATAGAAAGTGAACTGCAAATTTCAACCAAATCTTGCTATTCAGAGGTCTGGGAATGATGTCTGGCTTTGCCCACACAGAGCTGATAAGGTCACCTCAGAGGAATCAAGAATACGGAGATAGACAGGACCTTATTATCATGTCTATCATGACTGTTGATATTTCTGGGATTGTGGTGGGACATGCTGGGGCTCTTGGTCACACTGCTTTAACACCTGGGTTCCTCTTTACAGACAGTTACCACAACCTGTGCAGCTTCCTGGCCCAGGAGACAGAGTCGGTGGTGCTGTCAGTGGGGTGAGTGGCCTGAGACATTTGGTAGTTTATTTATGTGAGGGTGCTTTGAGGGGGGCACAGATTTGGTTGACTAGGCCACAGAAAGGGATCCTGGCCTCTTGTACATGTTCCCATGAACATAGCCACAACACTTTCAAAACAGTAGAAGTCTAAAAATATATCCATCCCTGGGAAGCACACTGGTGAACTGTGACAGAAGCAGCACAATTCTACAGAATACTGGTCTCCTCTGGAGGAATATAGAGCCATAGAGGAGAGAACTGGGGAGGGCACACTGTGATGTGAAGGGACCCAGGTAGCGTAAAATTAGAAGAGACCCTTTATGTCCTCTTTGGGGAGTTAAATTAATTAAAGTCAAAAGAATGCTTTCTAGGATACACAGAGACCCCCCAGGAAATTCAAAATGTGGAACGAAAGAAAAAAAAATGACAAATATTGAACTCAAAATGTCTCTTTGTTTGGTGGGATGATGTTGACTTTGGATTTAGTGGCGCAATCAGGGTTGGTGGCTGGTGGTCAAGGTCAATTGAAGTCATGAACGTTGTTGGTTGATAGCTATAGTGTTCCTTGCAACAACAACAAAAAAATACTGAACTTTTGGGAGCCAGCAGAGTCCAGCTCTACCGACTTCCTGCCAAGGTTCAAATCAGTTGCCTCAGCATAGGGAAAGAGACTTAGAAAATTTCTAGTCTGAGCAATGAGCTCACGTACTTGTAGCTCTGGTCATGTTTCTTTATTGTTCTGTTTTAATTCTAATTTTCTTGTCCTAATTGTCTATAATTTCCTACCTCTAATTCTCTGTCTCAATTCTAATTCCAATTTCAATTCTCTGTTACAAGTCTCTGTTCCGATTCATTCTTGTTCTAATTATTCTACATTCTTTTTTTTCTCTTCTTTATTTACCTACATTCAACCCCAAAGAAACATACAGAGGCCTACATTAATTATAAACCGGTTGTCCTATTATCTCGGGCTTCTTATTAACTCTTATAACTTATATTAGCCCATAATTCTTGTCTGTGTTAGCCATGGGACTTGGAGACCTTTTTAGGTGAGGCAGCCACATCTTGTTTCCTCTGTGTCTGGATGACAACTGCAGACTGAATCTTTCCTCCTCCCAGAATTCTCCTGTTCTCCTTGCCCTGCCTCTACTTCCTACTGGGTCACCCTACCTATACTTCCTGTCTGGCTACTGGCCAATCAGTGTTCATTTAAAATATAAGTGATAGGGTACAGACCATTGTACCACAGCACTCCTGCCCTCCTGCCTCCCCCTCTTTTTAAAACAAAAACTCTGAATCGAATCTCCTTTGGTTAGCTTTTCTCCTGACCATTATCCATAACAGCTTGTAACCAACATTCTAAACAAAGGCAAACATCTACAATCCTTTTTTTGGGGGAAATGTGGGTGTAGTTTTCTAGGCTACTTCCTGCTGATGGGGGGGGGTGCTGATAATCTTATGGGTACCTAAAGAAAATTTAGAATTATGGTCAAGTCCTGAATGGAAAATTCTGTGAGGCTTGATCATCTCAGCCAGTAGTCTTGAAACTGTTCTTTATGCATAACTCAGGGGTAACTCCAACAGAGGTACTCTAAAATGTTGGATCATCTGGAACATCTGCTCCTATTGGATATTCTTCAGGTGGTCTTCCTTGATCAAACCTGATTTTTCTTAGCCCTGAATGAATCCAAAGCATTTCATTTCCTGTGGAAACAAAAACAAAATCTCTTCTCTAAAGTAACATACCTTCTGACTTACATTTTGAAGTAAAGGCATTTCAAAATACATATTAGATTAATACATCAACATTTATAATCAAATATCTTTTAGCAGCTTTTGCTTCTTCCTCAGCCATCAAACAATTTAAAGACAACACAATAGCATTATCCTGACTCTGTGCACTTTTCATCTTTATGTGGCTTTATTTTAAACTCTGTTTCTTGTCTTTTTCTTTTTAATTTTTTGGCTTTTTGAAACAGGGTTTCTTTGTGTATCTTTGGCTGTCCTGGAACTCACTCTGTAGACCAGGCTGTCCTTGATCTCACAGAGATCTTCCTGTCTCTGCCTTCAAGTGTTGGGATTAAAGGTGTGTGCAACCACACCCAACTACTCTCTTTCTTTCTTTTTTATTTTAAGGACTTTATCCTTTTATTTTCTTGCCAAGCCTAAATATATTTTTAAACACGCTGTAAACTGTTTAGAGGATTTTTCTTCTGAAACTATCTTTATGGTATCTCTCTTTTTTTCTGACCACATGAGTCTTTTATTTGCTAAGTGATATGGCTAGGATTAAAGCTGTGACTTTGATGGCTGGATCTGGTCCATTCCTTAGCTTTCTGAGAGTCTGTCCTCAAGGCAGAGGTACCGGCCAGAGCCATTTTTTTTTTTTTGCCACAACTCTATGCCATTTCAAGGTCCTTGCCACCACCAAGAAATGTGCTGTGAGCTATTCATAAACACCATTTAAGTGTTTGGTGGCAGGGCCTCTTAAAAAAGCTGCAAGGTTTTGCAGCTAAAGCTATGTCAGGAAATATCTCTTGCCTCTAGCAAGCAGAACAAACCCAAGAAATTGCTGCTATCAAGAAGCCAAGCTTAATGCTGTTAATTACTGTTAGAATTACTTCCGAAGCTCTCTCAGGATTTCTGTGGATGCAGTTGTCCACATGTTAGGCACCATATGTTGACAGAAGTTCTGTCCCATCAGGTCCCACATCCATTTAGTCCCAAATAAACACACAGAAGTCTACATTAATTATAAAGTGACTAGCCTACTAGCATAGGCTTCTTATTAATTAATTCTTACATCTTACATTAACCCATCATTCTTGTCTGTGTTAACAACATGGCTTGGTAGCTTTTTTGGTGAGGCAGTCACATCTTTCTTGCTCGGTGTCTGGCTTCCTCTCCATCTGGGTGACAACTGCAGACTGACTCTTTCCTCCTCCCAGAATTCTCTTGTTCTTATTGCTCCACCTCTGCTTCCTGCCTGGTCATCCCGCTTATACTTCCTGTCTGGCTACTGGTCAATTCAGTATTTTATTAAACAAGTATAAGAAGCAAACCTTTACAGGGTAAAACCATTGTCCCACAGCAGTTTCTGTGTGGTTATTTCAGGGCTGAGCAGCCAAGAACAAACAAGCAGCCTCCTACAATAGCATAGGAAGGGTAACATCTTTCTAGACTCCAGAGATCTTCTCCTACCTGGATGGCACAATATCTAAACTTTCAAAATGGGACCTTACATCTCTGAGATTCCCCTTAATGGAACTACAGAGAAGTATGCAGGTACTTGGCCTGAAATCTTAAAGGGAATTCCTCAGTGTGGTATTCTAGATACTTACAGAGTTCTGACTCATGGACCAGGGAAACTGTGCGAGAATGGCAAATGGAGATGCTCAGCTACAGAAGGGGCTTGAAACTGCCTGAGGGCTGCTATGAGCTAAAGTTCTGAAACTGCCAGCCACCTATCTTTAGCTTCCCCCCTTAACCAATCTCTCTCCATTCTTAGTACTTCCTTACCCACTCCTCCTTGTACCTCCCCCCCAACTCCCTTTTCTTCTTTTTCTCTCCCCTTCCTGACCTCCCTTTCCTGGAAGCAAGGTACCTTGACTCTAAGTGAAGGCTCTGCATCTCTATTGATGGGGAGTGGTGGTATCAGTCATCTCCATGGGGTCATTTTCTTCTACCAGGGGGGATATTTGTGGTAGGTGAGGAGCTCTTCCAAATGATTTGATGTGGGATTTCCCTCTGTATGCTGTGATTACTATTAATGAATAAAGAAACTGCTTTGGACCTATAGCAGGGCAGAACTTAGGTAGGCAAGGAAAGCTAAACTGAATGCTGGGAGAAAAAAAAAAGCAGATTCAGGGAGGAGCCATGGAGCCACTGCCAGAGTCAGGCATGCTGAAACTTTGCTGGTAAGCCACTGCCATGTGGCCATACACAGATTAATAAAAATGGGTTAAATTAATATGTAAGAGTTATCCAATAAGAATTTAGAGGTAATGGTCCAAGAAGTGATTTAATTAATACAGTTTCTGTGTGATTATTTTGCCTCTAAGTTATTTGGGAAGCCAGGAACTAATTAGCAGCCCCCTTCCTCCTTCACTGACTCTTTAGGGCTTCATAGCCCTTGAGTTCTGAAGTGAATGGTGGCAACAGAGAAGTAGGAGCCACAGAAGGTGCCTGTCTCAGTGGGACTAGCAGGGCTCCAGTCACCTTCTCTGGGTCTTTGCTGGGTGTCCTATTTCCTAAAGCAATTGCTTTGAGCTTGCCTGATGCTCTTAGGGGCTCACTCATCTATGAAAAGCAAAATGTGGGTTGGAATGAAGAATCTTAGCCTCCTTGATTCTAGCAGGTTCTTCATGTCCACAGAGGAAAAATGAGGATAGTCATATTTACCTGTTAGGGTCATTCTGAGGATTTAATCAGGGTTTTTTGTTCAACGAGAGTGGAGAATTCTCTTCGAATGGCCTCCAGTGACCCATGTGCACACACATCACTGTATTGTGTTTGTTTATTTCTTCTTAGGTACCGCAAGCTTCCTGACCACTGTTACCCTTCTATTCACAATGATTGCCTGAATGCCACCATTCACTTCATGAAGGGCCTAAAATCCTATGGGGTAGACCCCTCCCGGGTGGTAGTTTGTGGAGAAAGTGTTGGAGGTGGTGCTGTGGCCATTGTCACCCAGGGCTTGCTCAACTTCCCAAGTCTTCCTAAGATCAGTGCTCAGGTGCTTATTACTCCAGTTACACAGATCATCGATTTTCGATTGCCATCACATCAACAGAACCAAAATGTTCCATTCCTCACCAAAGACCTACTCATGACGTCTGTGTGTAAATACCTGGACATTGACTTATCTTGGAAAGATGCCATAGCTAGTGGCACCAGTGTTCCCCCAGACACCTGGGAAAAGTACAGGAAATGGCTCGCTTTTGATAACATCCCCAGAAGGTTCAAGAGCAAAAGCCTTCTGCCCGAGTTTCCAGGACATTTCAATGAGGCTGCCTATCTGGAAACCAGGCATACTTTAAAAGCAGAAATTTCACCTCTCCTAGCAGATGACCAGATCATTGCTCAGCTTCCCCAGGCATTCCTGGTGAGCTGTGAGAGTGACCCCCTCCGTGATGATGCCTTGCTCTACAAGAAGCGCCTTGAAGATGCGGGTGTCCCTGTGACCTGGTACCATGTGGAGGACGGCTTTCACGGATGCATCATTTTGTTTGATAAGCAGCCTTTCTCCTTTCCCTGCTCCATGAAAATTATAAATGCTGTCATCAGTTATATAAAGGGCATATGACTGTCACTCTGGAATCTAAGGGTGGAACAAGGTGAGAACTATCTGTTCTGGGGCTTTTCCTGGCTTTATTTTGTTGAGTAAGGGGATGCTTAAGCCATTCATGATCCAAAAGGGAAAGACTAGGTGGAAGTAAGAATTTGTTGGCTTTGTATTCAAGAAAGACAACTCTGTGTGTTTCTTTCTAGAACTGACAAGATCCAGCGTTACAACTAGCAACACTCTCTACTGCTTGATTTACTTGAAATTAATGTCGAAGTGGAAAGAAAAGTCTTTCTTTGAAATTTTCTGAAAGCCTTAACAAAGAGGTTGTGCAGAACCACCATTTGGTCACAGCATCACTGCTGAGTGCTTCCATGACAACGTAAAGAAAGGGTTTTTCTTGTTGTTGTTTGCCCCAAGACCAAATTCGCAGCATTACTTGTATTGCCTTTATCTGTCTTAAGAAACGTAGTTTCATAGACTCCCTCCTTAGAAGATGACTCTTACACTGAATTGTGGGATGACATTAGTGGGAACATTCATTTATTTATTGATATTTCGGAGACATATTTAAAATTTAAATGACACAGAAAGTAATAATAAAATAAAAGACAATTTAAGGCAATGTACAAAAACACGTGGCAAAATCGAAGATTCAGAAAGCCTATAGAGTCAGATACAGAAGTCCAGGCGTATGACATGACTGTTAGTTAAACTGAAGACAACTAAAATACAACATATTAAAAGAGCTTTAGAGTTATAGTGTGTACATGTACATGGCAGAAATATTCTTTTCTTGCTAATTCTCACTTGGAATCTTTACAAAGATCATATTTTTCATGAGAAACGCAGCAATACACCTTTGGTATAGATCATTAAATCATATCTTCCTAAATTTGTATGTGTGTTTGTGTGTATGTGTGTGTATGTTTGCATGTGTATATCTGTGCTGCATGTGTGAATATGTGTATATGTGTGGTGTGTATGTGTGTGATGTGTATCTGTGGTGTGTAGTGTGTGTGTATGTTGTGTGTATGTGTGTGTGGTGTGAATGTGGTTGGTTATGTATGTGTGGTGTATATGCATGCATGTGGTGTGAACGTGTGTGTGTACTGTGTGTATGGTATATATATGTATGTATGCATGTATATATATATGGTGTATGTGGGGTGTGTATGTGGTGTGTATATGTGCTGTGTCTATGTATGAGGTGTGTGTCTATGTGTATATGTGTGTGATGTGTGTATGGTTCTGTGGGTGTATTACATACCCACCACCATCATCAGACATCTACACACCATTCTTTGAAACTTTAAAGATTATAGCGTTTACCTAGCAAAACTTAAAGAGTGAGAACAACATTTAAAATGTAAATAATGAGATCAAGTCTTTGTAACCCAACAAGAGAAACAATGACAACTTCTGGAAATGTCCTTAATCAGGGTTTATACAGTGCAGCAGCTTAAAGGACATTGAGCCTATAATTCGGGATCCTAGAGAAGCTAAATAAGAAGGTGAAGCCAAAGAAAAACATATAGTTATCTTCCTGGATATTGGAAGTAGACAAGATTGCCAGGCAAAAATTGGGAGCTTGAGGGTGGGGGTGGGGTGGAGGTAAGGGGAGAGGGGGAGAGAGAAGGGAGAAGGGGAGGATGGGGAGAGCTTGGGGGAATGGGATGGTTGGGATGGAGGCAGGGTGGATATGGGAGCAGGGAAGTAGATATCTTAATCAAGGGAGCCATTTTAGGGTTGGCAAGAGACTTGACTCTAGAGGGGTTCCCAGGTGTCCATGGAGATGTCCCCAGCTTGTTCCTTGGGCAGCTGAGGATAGGGAACCTGAAATGACCCTATCCTATAGCCACACTGATGAATATCTTGCGTATCATCATAGAACCTTCATCTGGCGATGGATGGAGATAGAGACAGAGACCCACATTGGAACACTGGACTGAGCTCCCAAGGTCCGAATGAGGAGCAGAAGGAGGGAGAGCATGAGCAAGGAAGTCAGGACCACAAGGGGTGCGCCCACCCACTGAGACAGTGGGAACATTTAAAAAACAGAGATTCAAGACAATGAGGGAGGAGTAAAGGGGATGGGTGAACATTGGGTGAGTTTCCCCCTGGGATCACATTTTTTTGGTGGAACTCCTAACATAGACCCGAGTCTACCATGTGCCCTCAGAATCACAGCTATGATGTGAGTGGTAAAGGCCACCTGGTGTGTGGAAGGCATGTCCCGAGGTGAGGAAGGTGATAAGCTCATGTGTTGTTCCAAGTCTTCCGAAGGTCCCTGCCTTTGCTTAACCAACACCACTCTCCCTGTTGAGAGGGAATTTGAAGGAATCATCCACTGAAAGGTGGTTGTAGTTGTTTAATGGGGGTCATGCTTTATAAATTAGACAACATTATAATTAGCCCAAACCCTACTTCTGTCCAAAATACTGAATTAATAAAGCCGCTTCCCTGTCTTGGTTATAGAACCCTCAGCTGCAGTATCAGACCGTTCAGTATCAGACCGTTCGTTCGTCCCAGCCACCCAGAAACAAAAGGCGCCAATGTGTTGGAGGAGGAGAGAGCCGCTTGTTGGTTTCTGGCTAGCTTCGACCTGAAATAATCACACAGAAACTGTATTATTTAAATCACTGCTTGGCCCATTAGCTCTAGCTTCTTGATGGCTAACTCTTACATATGAATTTAACCCATCTCTGTTAATCTGTGTATCACCACGTGGCAGTGGCTTACCGGCAACGTTTCAGCACGTCTGATTCTGGTGCCGGCTCCATGGCGTCTCCCTCTCCTTCACCTTCTCTCTCCCAGCATTCAGTCCGGTTTTCCCCACCTACCTAAATTCTGCTCTATCAATAGGCCAAGGCAGTTTCTTTATTCATTAACCAATAAAAGCAACGCATAAACAGAAAGACCTCCCACACCATTTCCCCCTTTCTGATTAAATAAAAAAAAGGAAAGCTTTAAATTGAACATAGTGAAATTACATGTAATAAAAGAGGTATCAAATAAGAATTATAGTTACAATATTTATATCTACTTTATCTTTTATCATAAGCAAGGAAAACTATAACTATAACTATAAATTCTTCAACTCCGTCAAAGACTCCAGAAGGATATGATATTACCAAGTAAACCGGAAGCACATTGTAAGATTTAAAGTTTCAACAATCAAACAAACTTGTCAAACTTCACTTATCTGAACACAGTTTAGAGGACTAGAATGATAATGATGGCCATAGGGGGAAATGCTGAGGACAGAAGTGCACTCTGTTCAGGAGGTAGAATGATCTCCAAATCCAATGAGGCATACAAGATATCATAAGGCGCCGGGCAGTGGCGGTGCACGCCTTTAATCCCAGCACTTGGGAGGCAGAGGCAGGCGGATCTCTGTGAGTTCGAGGCCAGCCTGGTCTACAAGAGCTAGTTCCAGGACAGGCTCCAAAAAGCTACGGAGAAACCCTGTCTTGAAAAAAAAATGATACAAGATATCATAAGGCGTGTATCATCTGGACATGGAATTCAGCTGGAGGACACCTCATGCCCATTGTTTATGGGACCTGAGTGAGATGCTTGCCATCTTGGGTATCCCCTTCCATGTCGGTAAAATGAGCATGGCCACAGTACTACTTTGCAGCCTCAGGGTTAAGTGACTCAAAATGATAAAACACTAAGGATGGTGCCTTGCCCCCAGGATGTGGGGAACTCATGGAAATAATAAAGTATAAGTCCTTGCTATTGGTTCCTTTTGTGTTTCTATGACAGAATACTGACCCAACAACTGAGATAAGGAAACACTTATTTGGCTTCATGGTTGTGGATGGATTTCAGTACAACATGGTGAGGCAGGCACGGTGGAGTTCTCAGTGGATGGAAGTATGTTGTGGAGATGTCTTGTGTCATGGTAGGCCAAGAAATAGAGAAAGCAGGCAGAACCAGAGGAGGGTTCCGTCTTCAAAGCCCTTCTCTTAGTGGCCTGACCTCAGCCTCCTAAGTTCTACCCAGTCTGTAACATAGAGTCACAATATGGGAACAGGCCCCTAAGTCATCAATATGTGGGGGATATCCCACATCTAAACCAAAGCACATCATTTCCAGTTCTCAAAGACTCCTGTCCATCAAAGAACGAAAAATACGTTTAGTTCAGCTTTAAAAGTTCCCGGAGTCCTAACAAGCTCATCATTGTCTGAAAGGGAAAAATTTGTCTCTGTTGAGACTCAAGGCAATCCTTTGGATGTGAGACCCTGTAAAATCAAAGAAAGTTATGTAGTTACAACAGACAATCACACAGAGTAAACAAGCCCACTTAAAATGTTAGAATGAGGAGATATCAAGGAAATATTGAACCAAAGCAAGAAGAAAAACTCTCTCTCTGTGTGTGTGTGTGTGTGTGTGTGTGTGTGTGTGTAGGACAAAGGTCAAGCTCATATGTCTTACTTGGTTGTTCTCCACCTTAACTTTTGAGGCTAGACCTCACTGATGTATCTAGATTGTCTGGCCAGCATGCTCTCAGGATCTTCTGCCTTCTCAGTGCTGGGATTACAGGTGCATGCTGTTATACCTGGATTTTTACATGGTTGCTAGGGATTGAACTCATGCTGTGTAGCAAGCATGAGCCATTATCTTAGTTCCCATTCCTGGCTTCTTAGGTGCACATTATGTCTCTATATGAGTTCCAATGGGCTTGGGATACCCTGCTTCTATAGTCTTGTCATTTACAGCACATGTGGTCTCTCTCGGGGGTGGTTACATTCTGTTTGCAGTTTTCTGTGGCAGATGTCCAGTTTTCCTAATACTTCTAGTATTCCGAGGTCTCCACTGTAACGTGGACTTAACTCACAAAGCATCACACAGAGCCCACATGGGAGAATTCCGCAGAGATGCTGACCATGTTATACTGACCTCACGGGCTTTCACTTTTCCATGAGCAGTTGGCACAGGCCTCCGTCTTTCACTTTCCTACAAACGAGCCTTCATGACTCCATATAGCTTTTACCTTCTACGTTATTGCAATACTGGCACCAGCATGTTAATAATACTGAGTTCTGCTGCCAGCTTATGAAGCAGGCTCTCTGGCATCGTGGCTGCAATTGTTTCTAAATAATTGCACAGCTGCATCATCAACACTTCACTAAGTGACTTTTTCCCAAGTAGGGCACATGTTCATTTGGCTTTTTTAAATGATCATCTAGAAAATTATATTTGTATTTCTATACTCTGGATTTTTTGATGGGAGATAGCTTGCTATCAAGAGACATTTTCCATTGTCCTAGGGCAGTGTATGGCTTCTCTATAATAACGCTCAAATCTTTCAAAATAACACCACATTGTCAACACTTTCTTGGTTCACAATAAAGACAACTCTTTCCCTGGCCAAATTGTGTGTTTCAAGATTTTTTTTAAAGAAAAAAACAATCTTATTTTACATGCCAATCCCAGTTCCCTCTCCCTCCTGTCCTCCGACTCTTTCCACTTTCTCCCTACCCCACCGCCATCCACTCCTTAGAGAGGGTGAGGCTTCCCATGGAAAGTCAACAAAGTCTTTTACATTACTTGAGGCAGGACCAAGGTCCTCCCCTCTGTTTCTAGGCAGAGCAATGTATTCCTCTGTAGGGAATGAGCTCCAAAGAGCCAGATAATGTACTAGGAACATAGATGGGGTGGAAGATCTTCAGGTTCATAAGGAGTTATTGTCAGTTTAATAGCTGCTTAGCAGAAAGAATAATTCTTCTTTAAGGGTGTAGCCAGTAGTAGGTTTCCCATGCTCCAGGTGAGGACCCCATGTCTATGTAAAGATTTGCACCACTAATTGGACTTGATGGGTTATCAGAACAACAAT